AAAAAAAAAAAAAAAAAAAAAAAAAAAAAAAAAAAAAAAAAAAACTGCCGCCGCAGCCACAGCCACAGGCAACCGCAACCTACGCCGGCACGACGCTCTCCGGCACAGTCTCACGCCAGCATACCTCTATCGGAAACGGTGCTGCAACATTTCTTTCTCTTCTCACTTTCACTCTCTCTGCTGCAACCGCGCTGGCACGCACGACTACCTAGCCTTCTTCTGTTCGTCGCCGACGGTCCTCTGCATTCCGTTGCTCGTCGACTAGGTCGCTTAATCCCGCCACCTCTCTACTGCTGAAATCGAAAGGATCGATTCTTTTTCTTCCTTTTTTTTTTTTTTCTCGTGCATTCTGATTTCATCAATTCATCCCATTCGAAAATAGGTAAAATTGGAATGAGTTCAAATTTAATCTAAAATGCTTACAAATTAAAACTCATTCCAAAATTTGTTGGGACAAATTAGGGTTTCCAAATTAGATTGAATTTCAAATCATTTTTATTTTTATATTCAAATCAAACACCGGAAATGATTTCAAATCCGGAGTGTAATTCTCTGAGAATTAGGGTCTCCATGCTATAAAAATTCTGCAGTCTTAGCTGCTTTCTGCTTTTGCTTTGTCGAGCTTTGCAGCGGGGGGTTTGAATGTCGATGGGAAGTGATACCACATGGGTTGGGAAGAAACCTCTGAGGCGAATCGGAGGAATGTCCGATGCCCTCTCAATTGCTGCCGATCTCGGTTTCTCTGTCTCTCTGCCTTCACAGGTCACTGATCCTTCTCTCTCTGTCTGCTTATACGTATTGTTAAGTTTTATGTTTCCTCGATGGATCTTTCATTTAAAAAATAGTCTTTGGAATCACTTGAAGAAGTTGATAGGTTAATGTGGTTTGTGAATTAGCTTTTGGAAATGGTATATTGCTTTCGATGAATTCTTGACAAGCATATTGAACTGGAAAAATAGGTCAGCATCTCAGGGCAATTAGTTATAGCAAGGATTCAATGAAGGTAAATTTTGTTCGTTCATTACATTAAGAAAACAGGGTCAATTGCTTACTAGCCTCTTGATTGATGGTGTGAGATCCCACATAGGTTGGAGAAAGGAACGCAGTTCCTTATAAAGGTGTGGAAACCTCTCCCTAGCAGATGCGTTTTAAAACTATGAGGCTAATGATGATACGTAACGGGCCACAGCGGATAATATCTGCTAGCGGTGAGTTTGGATTGTTACAAATGGTATCAGAGTCAGACACCGAGTGGTGTGCGAGCAAGGACGCTTGGGCTTCCAAGGGGGTGGATTGTGAGATCCCACATCGGTTGGAGAGGGGAATGAAGCATCCCTTATAAGGGTGTGGAAACCTCTCCCTAGCAAACACGTTTTAAAATCTTGAGGGGAAGCCCTTGAAGGGAAAGTCTAAAGAGGACAATATTTGCTAGCGGTGGGTTTGAGTAAAGATAAGGAGTGAATTTTTACTGCAAGAGTACACATGGGATACAAGTAATTCTGAATTTTTGTATCTATTGTAGTGCATTATTTGTGATCTCTGGTTTAATAGTTAACGGGATAGTTTGTCTCATTCAGGAAGACCTGCAAAATATATCTTCTGCTACTGGTGAGCAGGGTGATGATGTAATCAGAGTTTTACGAGAGCTTGCTGCTGTTCAAAGGAAAATAGCAGATCTTCAAGTGGAACTCCAAGGCCGTAAGGTGAGTATCCTGGCTTTTGCTTTTGTCAGTTTCAACTTTTAATTGTTGTGAGATCCCACGTCAATTGAGAACGTTGAGCCCCCAAGGAGGGTAGATTGTGATCTCACATCGGTTGGAGAGGAGAACGAAGCATTCTTTATAAGGGCGTGGAAACCTCTCCCTAACATACGGGTTTTAAAACCTTGAGGGAAAGCCCAAAAGGGAAAACCCAAAAAGGACAATATTTGCTAACGGTGGTCTTGGGCTGTTACAAATGATATTAGAGCGAGTCACTAGGCGGTGTGCCAGCGAGGACGTTGGGCCCTCAGGGGGGTGGATTGTGTTCTTTATAAGGGTGTGGGAAATCTCTCCCTAACATATGCGTTTTAAAAACCTTGAGGAAAAGCCCGAAAGGGAAAACTCAAAGAGGACAATATCTGCTAGCGGTGGCTTTGGGCTCTTACAAATGGTATCAGAGCCAGACACCCGACAGTGTGCCAGCGAGGACACTGGATCCACAAAAGGGGTGAATTGTGAGATCCCACATCGGTTGGAGAGGAGAGCGAAGCATTCCTTATAAGGGTGTGGAAATCTCTCTCTAATAGATGCATTTTAATACCTTGAGGAGAATTACTTATATTGGGCCGTTACAATTGTACTTGTTCATTGTTAATTTGCACGTTTTCTATATCTATCTGGAGTTTATTATTGTACTGAATGAATTGAAAATATGTCCTTAGGATGAGAAAAATGTAGCTCATTTGACACATGTGAGTGAAATGCAAAAGAAGATCGAGACTTTATCAAGGATTACTACCATATTGAAAGGTGTCATCCAGAATAAGGTGCTTTCTCTTGGACCATGATTTGAATCATAATACCTTGTGCTTTTAACCTCTTTTCTCTTATAAACGACCTCCAAAATTGAGAGTAGGACCTCGGTTTTAATAGAAGTCTTGTACGTTTCAACTTGTGTTTGAAAGATAGCAATACTTTGAGCTTGAGCATGCATGATTCAAAGGTTATGATATCTCTTGTATCCTCTTCTCCTCATTCCCAAATATATTGCAGGATCGTATAATAGCTCGTCTTCAGCAACCGTATTCAGTTGATTGCATTCCAGTGGAATCTGAATTTCAGGTTTGCCCATCAATGAAATGCTCAGTATTCCTTTACAATTTTCTTG